AAATTTGTATGATGTGCCCATATGGGCATGATGAGGTCATATATGGGCATAATGTGCCCATACATGGGCATGATGAGGTCATATATGGGCATGATGTGCCCATACATGGGCATGATGAGGTCATATTCAGTTATTTGTCATATAAAATTTGAGAGTGAACAAAACTCAAGAATATAGAAAGGAAACGGAGTAGAGTACCGTACTCGCGCGAATAAGCACCCTGTTTGAATAAGCGCTCCTCCTAACGTGAACATTTCCTTAAGCATCCCGTTTGAATAAGCACCCTCTCCTAACTTGACTAAAGCCGGCTTTCCACTAGGCGAATGTATTTGCCCGAATCGAAAGCGTCATTCATGCGCATGCATATTCACATTTCTATCGGAGTTTTCGCTTCAGCGAAATTGGTAGTTCAAACTGTTTCTACTTTTTGCAAAGCGAAAAATGTGCGCAACCAATCAGAGCTCAGGAACTGAACCGACGCCTTCGATTCGCGCGAATAAAATCGTCTAGTGGAAACCCGGCTTAAGCACCCCCTCAATAATATCGTGATTTCATGGATGCAATATCAGTATGAACAGTAGTCAGTCCAATGGTGATGGTGGCTTCCATATCGTACCTAGAGGTGTGACACATTTTAAAAATAGGAATGTATCCTCTTTCCTATCTATATTCTTATATATATTAAGTTTCTAGTATACTGTAATATTAATTTAAACTTACCCATTATGCGATGGATAACTTTGTGAGCGTTGGAGAGGTCCAGAGTTTGAATAATTTCTACCACCGTATGCTGTTTGTAGAGGTTGTTTCTAAATAAAGAGATGGAGTATTTAATAAACTAGTAGTATATTCTTGATAATTTAAGATAACTTTATTATTCCACTAAGGGAAACTCTTTGCTCATCATTACAAAGACAAAATATATATATATAAAATTTTGTTTTCACTTATAAAATGATAATTATAAATTTGGCCAAAGATATTTTACATTTTGATTATTAAATCACATTCATTATAACTAACTATACTGCATTAATTTAGTAGGTATAGCCCTTTACATTACCTTCCAATGTGGACTTGCCATTGTGATGTTTTTTTTCTCAAACGTGATTTTTAATTGATTATTCGTGCTGTTGAGCCTTCATAGTTTTTGGGTGAAAGTTTTACGTCTCATGGGCTGCTTTACTATTGGTGTGACTGAAGAGAAAAAAAATGAATTGTCTAATCATCAAACACTCAATAATGTTTGAAAAATGTGAAATCCTGGTGCTCATGGCTTTACTCTTACTGAAGATAAGCTTATAAATATACTTGAAAAATTGGCGACTTGACTAGATTTATAGTCACAGAACAAAATCATTTGTTCTATTTTGAACTTTGGTTCTAGGACACATTTTGGTGAATCTGAACATTCCAATGTTGGATTACTATATGTTAAATATAGGGTTGAATACTTGAGGTTGTGTCATGCTTTCAATTCTTCCAATGAGACCAGCCCCTCCTATATGCGGATTTTTTCATAAGAATAGTTATTACCATAATACTAGGGGCAGCAACAACAATAATTACAGAGTTCCTAGTTATGGTGGTGATGTTCATAGTACTTTTTTTTACCAAGATATAAAAACCACTGGAACGGTCTCCCAAGAGATATAAAAACATGTCCCTCACTTGATTTATTTAAGATTTTAAAATTAATGAATACTGTACCTTAAAGCAAGAGTCTCCAATAGGTTTTGTACTTTTAGTTTTAACTTTTGATGTTTTAACCTTTTATCAACTTATAACGAATAAACTCAATTCAAATTCAACTCTATATAACAACAGGGCCATGTTGATATAATCTCCATTCATCTGTTTCCTCTTGCCTTTATATACAGTACCTCGATCTAATAGGAAAGCTGGTGATAAGGTCTTTTCAAGTGCTTCACCTAGATTCTGGAATAGTGTCCATAGACATATGAAATGATTCTTGTTATTATGGTTTTCATCAGCTTTAATGTAAAATAACATTTGCTTCCCCTTAAGTACAGTACTTTATATCTCTCCAATTTTACTGTATTCTTTGTCTGATACATTGTTTCATCTGGTCTTATTGTTGATCACCAATTGTTATCTATTTTTTATTTATTTATATTGTTCATTGTACAGTATTCCTTAGAAAAAGGTGCAGTACACATTCCTGTATTATTATTATTATTATTATTGAAAGTCTTTGCCCTGAAGCTATTTAAATCTGCTGTAATAAAAGTGTAGTGTTAGCCCAGGGCAATAAGCTGAATATAAGGTCTGCTGATACAGCTTTATTCAGAAATAAAGTTTACTGCTATTTTATGGTTTACTGCCTTGTTAGTGTATGTAAAGTGTCAACTTTTTATGCTCATGATTAATTTGTGTACAAGATTCTAATGAATAAACATTAAAAAAAACTAGTATAGGGCTAATTTAATTACCAAGTTGGTCATTGCTAGGCCTAGCCTAGGCCTAGTACAATAGTAAAGCAGGATTCCTGACTTTGCTTTAAAAAAAAATTACTTTTGGAATAAACCTGTAATTTTGTAAAAATCAACTGATTTTTGTTTTATTCTGTACCCCCCTGCCCGATCGTCTGTCACCCGTTTTGGTCTACAGTGATCAGCTAACCCTAGACCTATTCTACCCTTCCTCTTTATTTTATAGGCCTAGGCCGTCTTCTATTAGTAATAATGTAGCCTAGGCTGCTAGGCCCTCGCAGTTCTCTGTTGTATGCCCTGACCTAGGCAGGAGGTCTGCCCTAGTCTAGGCCTAGCTTAGGAAAATTCTAACAAAGAAAATCGTCTGAAAACAAAATATTTCACAGTGAAAATAATTCCAACTGGTAAAATTTTACTGAATTAATATTTAAAGTGACTTATGATGGTTATAAAACTCAATAAATGGATTAAATACCTCAACTTTCCAGCACATCCTACCATGGAGAAACGACCACACACACGGGGCTTAGCTACTTCCTTTCTTCTTGGGTTTTCACCTTTGACCTATGTCTTGCAAAACGCAAATTTAAATAATACAGTAATACTAATTGTACTGCTTCAGGCCTATTATTTAAAAAATACTGTAATATATTATAATTTTTTTACTACTGTATTTCATTTGAAAATCTAGATTGATACTGTAAATAAATTCATTTAAATAAATATATAATATTGCATATTCTGCTCCAGATCTCTCTTCCATTGGATGTTCGGAACTGCTCCTTCAAGTCCCGTCCCAAGACATTCCTCTTTCACCAACATTTTGAATAATTTTCTTCTTTTTCCATCTTTTTTTTTTACTTTGAATTGCTTTTTTATTGTTCTGGGTCGAACATACAACCACTAGGATTGCTATTCATTATTCACCATCAACTAAACTGCCATAAAAAAATGGTTCGTGTGGGAATCGAACACACAACCACCAGGTTTTGCTATTCATTATCTACCATCAACTAAACTGCCTTAAAAAAAAAAAATTGGTTTGTGTGAGAATCGGACACACAACCTCCAAGTTTGCTATTCATTATCCACCATCAACTAAACTGCCTTAGTTGATGATGGTGAAAAAAAAAAATAGTTCGTGTGGGAATTGAACACACAACCACCAGGTTTCTTTTCTAATTTGCATAATGAATTTTTCAAACATTTTTGTCTATTTAAAAAAAAGTGCGTAAGTTGATGGTATCGATTATAAATTTAATTCTACATTTTTAGACAAAAAAATAAATCCTCTTGGCCCACAGCCCATTTTTGATACCATGACCATGCGTAATATTAACCTGCAGTGTATATATAC